ATTCCCAACAATTTCAATTTCGTGGTCAACTAGCCTTGAGTCAAAAACACCATGTCAGAAAAGCACAGTGGAACAAAGATATTTAGTTAGTGGTGGCCAAGACAGAAAGCAAAACAGGAGCAGAGAGGAAGGGGTGAAGGACCAGATATAGAACCCAAGGTCACACCTCCATGACCCACCCAGACACATCTAGATGTGTGCTTCACCAGTTCCCTGGGGCAGATCCCAAAGCCAATGGAATTGGTATTTCACCTTATCCATCAGTTGCATTCAGGTACTTTCTTTAAGAAAGCCAAATACTTGAATCCAGCAAAAGATAATATACAATTATATGATTGCTTTGGTATCTTTTAATCATCATCATAATAACTAACCTATGAACCATTTTTTTTTTTTTTTTTGGTACCGGGGATCGAACTCAGGTCCTTGGGCTTGCGCAGCAGGCGGCAAAACCACTGAGCTAAATCCCCGGCCCTATGAAGCATTCTTACAACTTTATATCACAATCTTTAAAATGTTGCAAAAACTAAAAATTTAGATTAAAAATATTTCCATGTTGCACAGATAGTCAGTTGAAGACCTGGAGTTTTCAGATAGTAATCCAGCTCTAGTGCCCTTGGTTTCTCCACTTGGAGAAATAAAATTGTCTTATTTTTATGTTTACTATTTAGTAGCATTTAAAAATATTTACCCTGAGCCTATATATTACACTAACAGTACTGGACATAACCTTCTATTCAAAAATATTTTCACTTAATTATATTATTGGCCTTTGTATGTTTATCAATAGTGCCACAGTTAATCTGAGTCAAATTTCTTATGATAAGTGTAATAAAAATAGATCTTAGAAACTACAAAACATTAGACATGCTAGGAGGTTTTTAATTATAAGTTTTCATATTTTATTTTATTTTAGCATTTTCAAGATTACCATTCTTCAATTTTCTATATTTTACTGTTCATTTTCAGAAGATAGATAATACTCTTATTTGCCTTTTATTGTTCTTTTGAAGATAACATATCTTTTTGTTCTGACTGTTTTCAAGGTTTTCTTTTGGTGTTTAGTTCTTAGAAGTTTTACCATGATCCACTTAGGTATAGTTTTCTTTGTATTTATTTTGCTTGAGGTTCTTATCACAATACCTTCAAGTTCAGTGATACACTCAATAAAAACACACGTGCACACAGATACACACACACACACAGAGCAGAATAGTCATCTGTTAATATGATATATATTTCCCACATAGCCCTTATTTAAAAATTATTTTATTGTCTTCACTAGAGAAATAAAGAACAAAACAAAAGAGAAAAAGAAGTAAGATTATAAAGTGGTGGAGAAGAGATGGGATTCAGCATGAATAGATCCCACCCAGGAAAGCAATGCAGGAAATTCTTGAGATCAAGCTGTACAGAAATCCTAGATAGTGATTTATTCAGATTAGAGTAAGAGGAATGAGGGTGAGGAGAAGGCATCAGAGAGAAGAACGCAGGGTGAGAGTACACTATATGGGGTATATGTGAAAATGCAGTAAAGTACATGTTACCACTTCAAAACATGACAGATGGCTTAAGTGCTAACACAAGGAAATGCAGGAACAAAATTGTGTAAAAGCAATGATTAAAATGTAAACCAAATAAACTTTTGCATGATATTAAGCAATTATTTAAAGAGAAAGAATCCATTCTGTCGTAGAACAAAGTAACAAAAGCATGAATTTCTTGAGTCAATGTATGGAGAAAGAATAAAGGATTTGAGTGCTGTTTCATATCAAATTACAAATGGTAATAGCATTAACAAAATAAAAATATTAACATACTTGACAAGTGGTAAAACATCACGGAGTTACAAGGTGGAAAAATGTACAGATGGTAAGCTCATACCATAATAACATATCAGGATATGTTTAGAGTAACAAAAGTAACCTGTTGAACTAATACAATGATAAACAACACTAGGACATTCAAAGATAGTACAATCACATAGTGAGATATTATGGTGGAAGGACCAAAATGATACAAACAAAAATATTTAAGGGCCGGGGATTTAGCTCAGTGGTTTTGCTGCCTGCTGCGCAAGCACAAGGACCCAAGTTCGATCCTAGGTACCAAAAAAAAAAAAAAAAAATATTTAAGACAATTGTCCTCCAGGAAGCAAGACTGCTGTTGAAGAGAAATGCTTCTGTTAATTTTATCACTAGCTCTTTTATGCAATTTGATTGTTACATTTCCATGTATTAAATTAGTTTTTTAAACAGTCTTTGAAGACAGAGCTAAAATGACATATCTTCCAGGAAAGCTTTTTCAAAATCTGACAAGAGGAGCTTTTCTCTGTACTTCCACAGTACCCAGCCATGCCTCTGAAAGTCTCTGACTTATGATACATGAATGACTGTGTTCATCTCTTCTGATGAATTCAGTACCAATGGAGTAGAGTCTAAATTTTATGAATCAGTTTACTCTTCTCACCTGGTACAGTATCTGGTGCAAAGTGGTTAATAATTATATATTCAATTGATGAGTGAATAACCAACCATATAGCCAATCTATATTAAAATTAGTAAGTCTTCCATTTATATAAATTAATATAGACTGAATGACATATTTAATACCTTCCTTACCTCATTGCATATTTTAACTTCCTAATAATAGTAGAGTGGTATAATGTAAAGCTCCATCATTTTCAAACCACCAAAAATGTACTAAGTAAGGAAATTTGAACCATAATGTAATATTCAAAATTCTTCATAATTTGAGTTTAAGCATAAATCAAACACTGGTTTGAAATCTTTCTGGTTTTAAATCAACATACTGTGTTCATAATGTTAATATCCCTCACTAACTCACAGCATGACATGATCAGTCTTAATTTTGTATTATTTCATAGAAATGTTGAGATTACAAATTAGTCCACATTGATCAGTAAAAGTTAAAGGGCAAAATTAATTAATGGAAATAATAAAGGGCAAAAAATTAATATGATGACACATCTAAAAGGCTTAAAATGTAGAAAGGCACTGTTATTTTGAAACTACCATGTTGATTTGCAAGAGAACAGAAAGAAATATCTGTGAATAAAGCTGAATTTCAACACACTAAATTGTGTGTCAACATTTAAAAAAAATAATTACCAAAACTGACTACCACAAGTGAGTCTCATTATAGATGTGAAACTTCTGACTAATAGAACTAACAATGACTAATGACATTACAATAAACTGTGAAGAAAATGTGCAGCTGCTGCATTAGAACTATGTCTTTCAAGTTGATGTGTGGATTTATAGCAAAACCTAATAAAAAACCATATGACTCATTTTTATTAAAATGCATGAAAAGTTTTAGACACTGTATCATGTAGGTACAATTTTTAAGTTGAAAACATGTTCTGGTAAATTTATTGTGAATATTTAAAGAGCAGTATAATATTAAAAATTAATTCATCACCCTTGAAGAATATATGGAATTTAAAATTAGTGGAGGAGTCGGTGACAATAAATATGGTCATCTTTTGGAGAGTTCATGTGTGTTCAAAGTCCCAACATAAATCAAATTCAGAAATAAAATTAGAACCTTACATTTGCTAGTTATAAGCTTCCATCATTTACATTTCACTTTTTCTTGAGAATAAAGTTTAGAACTAGACCTGACAACTGTATTGAACTGCAGTTTTAAATGATTTACCACTATATTGCACTGGCTGTTCTCAAACTCCTGGGCTCAACTGATTGTCCTTGTTCAGCCTCCTGAGCAGGTGGGACAATAGGCACATGGCTCTGTGCCCTATCTAAACTGTATTTGAGATAGAAGGAACATGAGAGATGCTGGAATGGAAAGTTCAATATCAGTTACTGAACAGTAGAATGAAGTCCTAGGATTTGGGCCTTCTAATGTTCGAGACCTTTCTACCAAATACTGGTCCTGAGGCTTTTCAGCTACTGAAGTATGCATATGTTTTCAGGTATTAATTAGGAGTCATTTTGCAAAATCTTTAAATCTGTGATGAGCTATTTCAAAGCCAGATAGCTTTTAAAGCCTTTCTCACTCTGTGATCCCAAGAAATGACTCAGCACAAGTAAAGTAAATGTGAGAAAAGATAAAACCTCAGACAAAGACTGTAGAAGAAATACTCTACTACTGCCCCATAAAGCAATTGGGAGTGAAAATGAGTTATAGGGCTTATGAAAGAAGTTTCAAAAAGACCTCTTTTTATAAACTATGAAGTCTGTTCAAAAGATAAGGTGAAAGTTTAAAATTTTAACTGTATTACATAAAGGACACATTGCCATTAATCTCCCTCAAAATACTCCCTCTTTCTTCCAACACATTTATTCAGTTTTTATTCTCAAGTTCTGAAGCAGTTCCTGCAGTCCTCTTTTGTGAGTGTCTTTAGTTGCATATCATGAGGCCTCAGTGTCCTGAACTGATTCATATGCTCACCTTTCCTTATCATTTTGATGTTGGGAAAAAGTTAAAATAGCCAGAGGTCAGATGATACCATATCTAGTGAATGAGAACACACCCTTGTGTTTTTACAAGTCGGCCTTTCTGCTGGATGACACTCAGCAGCAGCATTCAACCTATTTTGTTAATGAACACTTGTAGAGGTATTCACAAAAGAGGACTTCCAGATTTGTTTCAGAACTTGGCAAGAATGATGGGATAAGTGTGTTCAAAGGTGGGAAGTGTTCAGAGAGATTAACAGCATTGTTCTTTTACTGTAAGAATTTTTTTAAAAATTTAAACATTCATCATATTTTTATCAGTCCTTGTGCATTTAGGAGGCTGTCTAGGATATCCATAGGTTTAAAATTACCATTTTGAACAGTTTGAGGAAGCACAAATGTAACTTTATGAGTTACTTTAAAATCTAACATGCCTATATATCTCCAAGTTGTATTTATTTCACGAAGTCATAGCTTACCTCTTTGAAAGAGTATTTAGGCATGTGCTATCACTTAAGGATATAGATTCATTCTGAAAAATGCAACCCCAAGGGACTTTTTCACTGTATGACCCCTATAATAAACCTAGATGACAAAGCCTAGACTGTATGGTTTGCCTATGTCTTCTAAGCTATAAAACTGTACGGCATGTTACCCTACTGAATAGCGTAGTTAATTGTAATGCAATGGTATTTGTGTATCTAAACATACAACAGGCACAGTAAAAACATGGTACATAACACCTATTTAGGGCACTTACTATAAACAGAGCTTGAAAGACTGGCAGTTGCTTTGGATGAACCAGGCAGAGGGTTTGGGTGAACACAAAGGCTGAGGGTCTTACTGCACATTACTGTAGACTTCACAATCATCGTAACATGGCTATGCTCAATTAATTTTTTAATAACCATAGCTTACTGTAATCTTTTTACTTATAAGCTTTTTAACATTTTTAACAACTTGGCTTTTAAAAGAACATTTAGTCTAAAGTGCAAACACATTCAATAGCTATCCAAAACTTTTTGGTTTATGTTGTTATTTTAAAGTTTTTGTTTATTTTTAAATTGTTTTGTTATAAACTGAGATAGAAAGACACCTCCTAGCTGGACCTTCAGAGGGTCAGGATTATCAGTGTCACTGTCTTATCCATCCTCGCTGTGTCCCACTGGAAGGTCTTCAGTGGCAGTAGCACACATGGAGCTGTCACCTACTGGAATGACAGCGCCTTCCTCTGGAAATCTTGAGGAAGGATTTGCCTGAAGCTCTTCTTCAACAGGTGTCACTATTTTCAAAAATGTACCTATGGTGTCTTGTTTGGTTTGTTTCTTTTCTCATCACAGATTTGCTTGTAAGCAGATAATGCACCATATGCATTTCTCCCTATTAAATGTTTTGGCATGATGATTCATATTTTCAAATTTTAAAAAGATTGGTGAGCTCTGTGAAGGTTTCTGTGAAAGCTTGCACTGTGAGTTTTCTTGAACATTCTTTTTCTTAGCCAGCAGTTTCCTGTCTTCTTGCCTTTTCTTCAGCTGTACAATAAGGAAGTGATAGGAATATTTCAGTTTTATTATAACCTCATGGTAACACTGTCATATATGTAGCTCCTTGGTAGTTAAAACACCATTTTGTGACACATGAATATATTTTACTTTTACCAAAAAACACTTTATTTCAAAACAAGGTCCTAAAAATATTAGAAGAAAAGAAAAGAAAATCAGTGTTTCTGATTGAAAGCTAATTAATACCCTTTATACAAGACATTCAGGTAGATTCATGCAGCCCATGCCAGCCAGGCTGAACTCTTAATTGTACTTTTTTATCACTGTGGGCTTCACCACTTCGGACCCATGGATGCACTCCAAATGCATAAATATCTATTTCACACATGGTAAACAATAAAAACAGATGCTCCTTTGTATCTAGGGGATAATTTATAATAGAAAAATAGCAACCACTAAAGAGAAAGTGTGTTCATATTTTCCAGGGTAAAAGTCTTGTTGGTAGCATTTTATTAAAAAAAAAATCAGAACTTCTGGCCCAATCAAGTCTCATAGTGAAAACACAGAGCTCCTCCTATCATTCCAGGAGACAGTTTCTAAAGAACAAGTCACATATCAATCAAAAAGCAGATAATGTGACTGCTACAGTACAGACACTTGGACACACACAGTGTGAATTCAATAGATGAGCAGTAGCCTTGATTAGTCAGGATGGTAGAGCAAAGGTGATAGAATGGCAGCCCAATGTTTTCTAGCGCACAGAGTCCAGAAACTATATCATAAATATGTGCTCTGGAGCAAAGGATACACCAAGATCTGAAGGTGATGGAGTAACATCCCACTCCTAGTATAGAAAGACCTTGGTAGGGTCACTGTCTTTACTACCTACCGGGTATATGACCTTGCTCAGGTGATTTAGATCATGGCTTCAGTTTTCTTATCTGTAGTCTTGGATAAAAGATGAAAAAAGAATGGTAAAATGATTTACTCCATAGGTATCATAAATATTAAAAGATAATTAACACAGTGATCTTAGTTCAAGGCAGCTCTTAATATAGCAAAAATCATTGAACCTCTTGTTGCTTAAAAAGAAAATTAGTACATAAGACATAAAAGATCCAGGAAAAGGACAGCATGCTGACTCAGCCAGGCCTATCTAAAGGAAATTGTTATCTGGTATTGCTTAAAATCATAGAACAAGCAGCCAAATGGCTTTACACCTTGACCCACTAGTTTATAGCAGGTAACTTAATCTGTGCTTCAATGTCCTCCTCTTTAAAAAAAAAAAAAAAAAAAAAACTAGAAATTACCAGCTTGTGAATTACCTATGGCAATAACATACCAAGGAAAGGCAGGTGGCCTCTAGGAGCTAACCAAGACCTCAACCAAGAGCTGTCATATTAAGAAAACTGGGACCTCAATATTATAATCACAAGGAACTGAATTATTCTAACAACTTGAATGACCTTGAAGACTTTGAGCTCCAGAAGAAAGCCAGAGCTCAGGGAACTCTTTGATTTAGCCTCATAAAGCATTGAGCAAGGTCTCAGATAGCCTGTTCCTGGACTCTTGACATGACTCACAGAATCTGTAAAATAATAAATTTGTGTTTCTTGAAGCTATTAAGTTGGTAGTAATTTGTTAAACACCAATAGAAGACTAATGTATTCAGTAGTCTCTCCTGATTAACCCACTTGAAATGGCATTCTTTTTGGTACTAACATTCCCTTTATCTTCCTCCATTATATTTTTCATGAAACCAATTTATTTTCTTTATTGTCTCTCCCAAAATGGAATGTAAACTCCATACGGGCAAAGATTTCCATCTATCTTGTTCACTATTTGTTTAACTGCAGTTCCTAGTGCAGTAGAGATTTAATAAATATTTGTTGATTCAATGAATAAAGTTATTATTAGATACTTGATTAAAAGACATAGTAGCATTTCCCCAGAATAATCATATTCATTTATAAACCTAGACATTCAAATTCTTAGCTAAATTTGAACTTTAGTTAATAAAAGATAACATGTAACTTATTTCTACATATGTGTTTTAGCCTTCCATCACTGTGACAAAATATCTGAGTAAAACAAATTTAAAATGAAAAAGTTTATTTTGGCTCATGACTCCAGAGGTTTTGGTCCATTATCTGCTGGCTTCATTGCTTTTAGGCCTGTAGTGAGGGAAAAACATCATGACAAAATGTATGGAAGGACAGTTATTCACTTCATGGCAGCTAGGAAGCAAAGAGAGAGACAGAAAGAGCCAGAGAGGAAGGGGCAAGGGATAACATACAGTCTTCAAAGCCATGCCTGGAGTGACTTTTCCGTCCAACTCACTTAGACTCCACCTCCTAAGTTCCCATCCTCTCCACTCCTGCCATCAAATTATGAATCCATCAGTAGATTAACCCACTCATGAAGTTAAAGCCTTCATCATCCAATCATTTCCCAATTTGCCATAAAGCTGTGAACCAAGCCTTAGAATGAGACTTTTGGGAAACATTCGAGATCCTGAACTTAACAATATGTAAAGTGTTGTATTAAGAGTAATAAAAATTTAGAAAGCCATAAATTTGAATATGTAAAGAATAATAGAAATGTTGTGGACTTGCCATTTGTCTGGTACTCTTCTAAGTATACTCCTTATAAATTACCTCATTTTTATCTCCTATTACAGGCTAGTTAACACTGTTGTTCCCAATTTACACTTAGTGAAACCAAAGTGCCCAAGTTTAATAATTTCTTCAAGTTTACACAATCAGAAAGTGTTGGACTCAGACTCAACAGCAGACAGTATAACTCCAGGGCTTAAGTTTTTACCCACAATTTGGCTCATTATGATTTCACCATGCCAATACATATATAATCTATATGTAGCTATAGCCAAAGCACTCATAACAGACTAAAAAAGACCAGTAAAATTGTAGAAGATATATAAACAAAATTTCAAAGTGTTAATATCCTTATCTAGGAAAATCCTTAAAAATTAATTTCAAGAGTAGAAGAATATATTGTTAAAATGGGCAAAAGACTCAATAGAAACATTATAGAAGAAAAATTTTAAAAGTGAATAATGTGTGTAAATAAAGAAAAGTACACTTAAGCTAGTTTTAGGAACTTTGTCCTCTTAAGCCAGCAGTAGAAAATGTAATGTTTTGTGAGGGTTCAATAAGACAGGCACATTCATAAATTGCCAATGCACACATACTTAAGTACAAACTTAATGAAATACAATTCACCAACGTGTAGCAACTATCTTTTAAAAAATGTATGCAGTGTGATTCAAAACATTCTTCTTCTAAAAGAAATCTATTTTAATGAAATAATCAGTGGTGGAGAAAAAGATATTTGTGCAAAGATGTACATCTCAAGTCTTAAATGATGGAAACCTTCTAATAACTGAAATGTGAAGCAATGGTTAATTGATAATGGTTTTTAAATCTCTTTTATCCAATACTGTATTGTGAGTACCAAGAGCAGTATCTAACATATAGTATGTTCCTAATACATATTTGTTGAATAAATGAGAAAGTTTACTTATCATTTTTGGACCTCATATAATTTTGAATATCTTTATGACATTTAAGATGAAAATGCTTATTACTTAAGACTAAATACAAATAAAATAAATGAAAATTTCAGAAATTTTTACAAGGTACTATGTCAGCAGAGATGTATCTCAACTTGATAATTAAATAGTTCTCAGTATTCTAACACAAACAATTAAAAATAAGGAAGATCAGATATCCTCCCTCATAGGCTGTAAGTAAACATGTAGGAAGTGAGAAAATGCATGTAAGGGCACACAGAGAGGCCTAGATTCTTCTCTCTCTCTCTCTTTCTCTCTCTCTCTCTCCCTCCCTCCCTCCCTCCCTCTCTGCTCTCTCTCTCTCTGCCATAAAAGGCGTAAGCAAGGTGGTTAATCCTGCTCCTGTATCTCATTTGCATTTACATTCAAGAATGCCCCGGATTGGCAGGAATGCTGAAAGCTAGAGCGCTCTGGTGCTGACCACCAGTTGAGGGCAGCAGAGAGCCACTTGGAAGAAAATAGAAAATCCATGCTAGATCTAACAGCTTCCGGCAGAGAGTAGGGTGCTTAGCCAATCCACAGAACGCTGCTGAAGATGCAGTGCATTTAGAAAACTAGTCTATAGGGTGGCCAGTAAGAATAGAGTAACAAAATACATAAATGCAAGATCCCCAGACAACAAGGAGATAAGCAAAAATCAACACCCAGATGCTCAGAATAAGCCAAACTCAGATTCACCAGTTTCCAGGACGCTTTGATTCAGATATTTCTCCAGAGGTGCTGAATTACATGATATCTTAGATTCCCTCCAACTCCAAAATGTGGGCTTCCACGATCACTAACAATGATGTTTCGAGTACAATTCATTTTTTTTCAAAGATTGTCCCTTCTGTGAAAATAATGTAAAATTATTAGCATTAAGAGGAGAAAATCATACTGAAAAAAAAAAAAGAGTAGCAAACACAGACTCTATCATGTTATAGGGAGTAATGAGTCCCAAGAATCCTTTAAACTAAATGCTGAGATTTTTCAAATTCAATACATGCAGGGGAATCCTGGCAAACCTGATAAGCAGCATCACCCAGTACTCCTGGTTCCTAGCACTAAGGCTGCAACCATCAGGATGACCAAATACACCTTGCGGCCCTTCCAAAACTAGGATTCTCACTCTTTTTCTGGGTCTTCCTAACAGTTTGACCTTAAGCAAGAAATTTACTCTCTTTCTGTCAGTTTCCTCCATTCTAAAAGAAAATATTACTTATCTCTATGGGGTTTGTAAAGAATCATTGAAGAAAATGTGACTTGTTAATTTTAAACATTTTTTAACCCCATAATCCAAAACTCTGAAATCCAATATGCTTCCAAATCTTCAATTTTTTGAGTGCTGAGAAGCTGTGCAAAAAGTTTTAGATTTGGAAACACTTTGGACTTCAGACTTCGGAGTAACAATGCTCAGTTCATAAAGCCTATGTAAGTATTCCAGAATTAGAAAAAAAAAAAAATCCAAACCTTTAGACACTTCTGACCCTGAGCATTTTGTATAAGAAATACTCAACCTGTACAAACATAAATATTTTAATTAAGAGACCAAGGAGTAGGAAGAACAGAAAGATATATAGAGAACAATAGAAGGGCACCTGAAAAAGAAACTTGTGATAGATTCAGAACTTTCTGCAAAATGAATCCTCTTCTATCTATCAATCTAAGTCAGTGTAGAAATATTTTTCCTTGTGGATGTCTTCAGCCTACTGGGGCTTCCACTAAATGTTGAGCACATTTTCATCAAGGAGTGATATTTGCCTTTTGTGAGCACTCTTCTTGCTGAAGAAACTAGCTGTGTAAAATGAAGCTCTGAGTAAGATAGCATTTGGAGACATTTTATTGCCATCTCTAAAGGAATTTAGGGAGAAAATGTAGGCTATTTGCAGCCAGAATATTTTGGCTTTGGTTCCTAAAAATATTAAAAATAATAATTAATCATCACCATGAGAATATAGGAACATGCTGGAGAAACTCAAATACAGCTGCCTCTGCTTTGTGCTCAGTCTAATCCTTTTCTCACATTATGATTCTTCTGGAGGGACAGCAAATGACTGCTGAGTGCATGCCAATGAGTCAGTATATGTTGACTGGAGAGTCTAAAATCTTGATTATTTTTTAACGCATCAAAAGTGGGAGATGGCTGAGACATGGGGAAGAAGGAGGGCTGATCAATTCTTATTTCTGATGAATTACCTAACTGCTCAGTGAAGAGTTGCAAATGACAGCACAGGCACCGGAAGAGGGTCTTCTCAAATGAAGGCTGATGATTTATTGATTCCTAGATCTCTTGAGCCACTCAACAGTAGAAAGACTCAACCTCTTCATTTTGTGTACAAACTAAGGTCCAGAAAAGTCATGTGACTAGCTCAAATTCTCCCAGGTGATTACAACTACTAATCCAGTTATCTTGCTCTAGAACTAGCTAGTTAGTCTGCCAAACCATGGATGAGTTTCATAGTAAAATAAAAGTAATATTTGGTGAAAACACAAAATGGAATAAACAGAATGCATATCCTCAAAGTTACAAAACATAGATTCGTATGCCCCAGTAGTTATCAGCTACTTTTCTAATGGGAAATTAAACACCCTTATGCTTCAGGAAATGCAGGCAGAAACTACACCCACTCACATGGCTGGTTACAGAGCCACAGTGAATTTTTCCACTACCCTAGTATAAAATGTCAAATGCCATACAAATGAAAAAGTTGTTATTCTGAGATCCTGTACTCTGTAGTCTTCCCTTGCAACAACAACTGTGTGCAAATAGTACATTTCATCTTTTCTGCAAAGGGATGAGATGGACCCCATCCAGGCATCAGAATTCCATTTATTTGAATTTCACAACATTGTGACCAAAGTCTACATAGAGGGAGCATAGTCATAGTTATTTATAACAGTGTTATTTTCAGTAAGTTCCCTGATTTTGACAAGGAAGCTACCTCAACTCAACGAAATGATTGGTTCAGATAAAAAGAGATATCAGAAATTTTTTCCATTTTACCCTTTTAAGAATTTGTGTAGAAATACATTTAGTGAGCATTTGTCTTTGTTTTGCAGTGATGGGATGGAATACTATGCCTCATACGTGCTGGGCAAATGCTCCGCCACTGAACCACACCCCCAGCCCCAGATGATAATTTATAAAATTAATTAAGCAAAGTAAAACTCACATACCATTGTTAGGACTAGTTTCTTGGCATGGAATTTAAAGCATCGGAAGAATGTTCTGACACATTTTAATTGCCTTCTGTGCACACTTAAGGTAGTAAAATAATTTCTTTCCTATAAAATAATACTATAATCTAAACTTAGATAAATAATCTTTGATACCAAAAAAATACTCTTTGTGAAACAATCAAGCTTTATTATAAAAGTCACCATTGCTATCTCCTCTAAAACTCACTGCTCTGTAAACTTTCATCTCGGCAATTGAACATTACAATCACTAGATGTCGCTGCTGCTGTTTGAATGAGATTTTATTTCCTGCTTTCTCCAAAAATATATATTTTATCAAGATTCTTACAACTTTTGGAATCATTTCTTGGTGGTGTTTTGCTGAGAATTGTACAAATGAAAGGTATTTGGTATTTTATATATTGATTTCAGGTCACTTATTTTTCAAATAAAGAAAGAACTGAAATGGTAAAATAACTTCATAAAAGATTCATAGGAAAAGAATGGTAAAGGCAGAATTGAAAAGCAGTTGCCATGTCTATTTGCGATCAGGTTTTAAGAAACAAAAATCTTCTAGCTGTGAATAATGAAGACTCTCATCATCTTTTAAACTAAGCTCCACTGAGTACATTTATTATATATGAAGTTGGTTTTACTTTGCCCCCCACCACCACCACCACCATGGGCTTCTCCTTGGAGAGGAGATGCGTAGAAATCTCCAGAACACTACTTTCTCGAGCAGACTTACTTGAGGGAGTAGGAAGGCCTGACAAAAGGCTGCCATCTAAGTTCCAGTTAGTGCTTCCTCCAGAGCATCCCTCCTATGGGGGAAAGGCCAAGAGGCCCAAGTCTCCATTAGAAAGTTTTTGAAGCTGGAGAAATGTACACAACGCACACCAGCACTCCAGTGTAGACAGTGTCCCCTACCCAGTTCCCTACCAACAGAAAAGTAAACCCAATGGAGTTTTCTTCAGAAGGCTGGGGCTGAGAACATCACAGAAGTGGCCAGGAGGGAATCCTGAAGTGATCTCACAAGCTGGGCTGAGGAGGAAAGAGAAACATGACTGAGAGAAAGATGAAAGCAAGTTTACTGAGCAAGGCAACCAAGTGCTAGCCCAATGATCTAGACATTTCTGCTTTCAAGGGAAAACCAAAAAAATCACGCCTCCCTTCTGAGGACTGGCAGCCAGGGAAGGAGCCTCACACACTGGCTCAAAGTTGTGGGACCCCTTTTCCAGTCCCCATCTCAAGAAAAGAAGGGGTGGGGAAGGAATGGACGTGCCCTGAAAAGCTTTTTTAAAAAAGAGAAAGGAGCCAACATCGCAGCTAGCCTTGGGAAAATCTCCACAGATGAGCATTTTTGTTGCGTTGAAGTGGCCCGCATTAGCAGCCTGAACACGTAGGGGAAGGCTAACATAGCCCGTTAGTATAATGCAGGGGAGGCATGACAGACCTGGGAGCGCAGAGTGGAGTGCTAGTTTTGTATAAAACAAAACGCAACATTTCTGTAGACTTATGCTCTTGGCGAGGGGGGTAGAGTAAGTTTGGGGCATGCCTCACAGGCACTGAGGCATCAGTTTGAGATGTTTGGCGTTTTTAAAGTATACCTTCACTTTCACGACCTTACAAATAATTTCTACCGTGGGAAATAGCTCCTCGGTCCACGATCCAGACGTCCTCTTCGAGAGGGAGGGGAAGAAGAAACAGCTCCCAGGTGTTTCATTCCAACTCCACCACCGAGGAGACTACCAAGGGGCCAGGACAGGGTGTCCAAGAGACTCTGGGTACCAACGGTGGCTTCCAGCACACCCACTATTTCCTTTTGCTTGCACTTAGGAAGCTGCGGGGCAGGAGGACTTAGAAGTCGAAGAAAACGAAGGAAGGAAGGAAAGAAAGGAGGAAGGACGGAAAGAAGAGGAGAGAAGGGAAGAGCTGAGAGAGGGGTTCGGGGGGCAAAACACACCCACACAGAAGAATTAAAAGCCAATTTAAGTCTGATGATTTCACACATCGCCTTTTCCACGGCGACTTCAATTCGCTTGCTCTTTCCTGGCCTTTCTAACAGAACTTCAACTTGAACTGTGTTCTTCTACCTTTAAACAAATAAAATAAAATTCTGATCAAGCGGGGCAGGGAGGACGACCTGGGAACTGGCGGGGCTCTGGGTCCATCTGAGAAGGGGTCTGAAGGGAGCCTGGAGCTCACAGAAGCAGTTATTTCTCTTTCCGTGGCCACATTCACCATCTCCCAGCGCTGGTTTCAGTAAGTGAGGTTGGCTTTCCTCTGCCTAAAGGACCGATGGGGTCCACCAGAACTACAATGCGAAAAGGTTCCTAGTCCCTCGGGTCCCGGGACTACGCGCCCCGCCGAAGTTTCTAGGCACTCCAGGACCCAGTGTGAAAATCAGGGATTTCTTCCGGATGGGTCTCTCCTGGGGGCAGGGAGCTTGAGCAAGCAGGGCCTCCTCCTTAATATCTTTAAGTCAGTATTTCCAGCATACCCATCTGGGACAATGAAGGGAACCACTGGGCTCCGGGATCTAATTAGATAATGGCTTTTTCTTGGGGGAGATGTGCGCTAGGGAAAGCCCTTAAGGTACTGACTGCCCGGCAGCCGTACCAGGACTGTTTTCTCTAAGGAAGCCCGCAAAAGGCAGCACAGGAACGCGGTGTCCGAGTCGCCGGCCGTCACTCCGGGAACCGACTTCAGGCTGCCCTGGAGCGCAGCGGATGAGCGGGGATGGTCCGCAGGACCGGGACTCCCCTGGCCGGCTTCCCCAGGGCGCCCTCGCGCTTTCCAGGCGGAGCAACGCGCTACCGGAGACTCGGCGCTTTTGTCAGCAGCGCACAGCAATTACTAAGAAAATATTGTGACGCTGTTGTAGGGCGGAAGGGGATATGAGGGGGTGAGGTGGGGGAGTCAGTTTGGAGAGCAATTTGCAAAGGAATATTAACTTTAATTCCCGAGGTCACCGCGGGAAAAGGGGTTGGCGCCGTGATGAGCTTCCGAGTTCCTCCTCTAGGGGGCAGACTTTGGTGCCGAACCGCCGCTGGGAGAAGCTGACTTCAAGCCCAGGATTAAGCTTCTTGCTGGTTAAAAATAATAATAGCGATAATATAGAGGTGTGGGGCTGTTTTTTCCCCTTTTGGATATTTATTTATTGAAGGGAAAAGTCATTGATTTTCCTAAGCAAACTGTGTTTCTCCTTCACTTGGAGGAAAATAAAAACTGTTTGAATAAATAAGTTATTTCTGAACATTTTGTTGTCAAAGTGTTAAATGTTCCCGTCATTTTTATTCAAACACTAACATGATTACAGCCAATTATATATTCACCAGTGTTCTTTATTTTAGAGTAATTGTGCTTGTCACTAATAAAACAGAGGCATAATGGATTGCTACTGTTCTGGATTTTCAAGCAATTTTGTGTAATTTGATTGAATTATACATCTTATCTGCTACTTTTTATTTTTATATTTGGGGATCCTATTTTCTGGAAAATTGCAGCTCTATGCTTGTTTTGTTGTTTTTCCAGTAACGTACACTTCGGTAACACTGATAAATAGAAAGAGTCCCTGTGAAATGTCGAAAATCAGCTGTTTCTTCCCCCACACCCCCGCTTCAGCCCGGGGAAGACCTGCACTCTGCGCAGCAAGGGAGTCTGAACGTGCGGGTGAACTGGCCGGAAAAGTTCAACGCCGAGATGAACTCCCAAGGCAGCCTGGAGTCTTTGGGGCTTTGTCTCTTTCCTGTAATGATACTGTTAGATGTCTGGGGCTTCAAACATGCTAAGACAAGCAGACCATGAGTTCAGTTCATGTGCAACATGTATCAAGGGAAAGAATATATACAGCGCCGCCGAAAGAAAAACTGTACATATTACTCCGATTACACAACCCCCAAACGCCCTACCTACAACCTCACCCTCACCCCCTGCAATTACAACAATTATCTGTCTATCTATGTGCTCCTTTGGTTTCACATAAACCTAGAGGACTGGGATCAAGAGTCTCCTCTTCTTTTTTTAAAGATCTTTTTAGTCTTTTTTAAGGGGGTTACACATATCTACCCAGGGTTCACGTATTGGAACAAATTAAGAAATAAACGTGACAGCAGACAGGACTAGAATCTTAAGGGACCATCTCCAAAATTTAAGGGGCAGAGAGCGTGTCTTTGCTTTCCCCTCGAATCCTTCCAGTTTCTAGGACACGACTCAAATGCCTCGTTAGGAGCTGCAGCTGCGAGATGAAGCCAAAGGCTCTGACAAGTGGCTTGTGTATGACCCAATATTTATCAATAACAGCAACAACAAAATCAAATGAAACCAAGGCTGGGGATTTCGAACTGCTTCAGCAGTCCTGGCTTGGATACACTCATGGGCGGAAAAAACTCGCTGGAGAGGAGTTGGCTTCATTTGTTCGCCCCGGGGAGCAATCCTGGAGCAAAATCCAGTGCTAATTGATCTCCACAAACCACACCATCAGCTGCAAAAGTTCGAGGGGACAAAGAATGAGCAGTGTGCACTACAGATGCTCTGAGCAGTTTTTCAAGCAAATAGGGGCGTGCAATAAATAGCGTGTGTATGCATATAAAGAGGGAGAGAGACTTACTTTTAATTAGGAAAATAATGTTTCATGTGTAAATCCAGACATCCTTAAAACCCAGCCTCTCCAACACACCGTTTATTTTATGGTCCAGACATAGAATTTCCTGGAGGAAAAGATTGGGGCCCAGTGTTGTGTTCCGAGCGAGCGAGCGGGTGTGCATATTCTTAGCTTAGTTGCGGGCCCTTCTCTCGCTTTTGGAGGAGTTTATGCCAGGGCCCAAAGGCAGACAGCCCAGCCTGGGCAGCCACGGGAGCCTGTGGCCGGGCTGGCGGCGCGGAGGCTACAACCAGACACGCTCGGAACCAGCCTTCGCCCGTGCCTCCGAGACCGTGGGCCGCCGCCTGTCAGCCTCATAGGCTGTGCTCTTGGGCTTTTTCTGTGTTTCCATTTCTCGTGGCCTCGTCTGTCTTATCTAACAAGTTCACGCTCGGTGAGGAAAAAAAAAAAAAAAAAAAA